TTGTTAACATTAGCTGTAATTAATATACTTACAAATGTATTTAAGTGCAATAAAGAATATTTATAAATATTATCTGACAATTCTTTTGTGGACTCCCGCGATATAGGTTCATCTAGTTCGGGGTCCAATGTATAACACCTGCATTGCATTTATATGTAAATGTTGAAATAAATAAATTAACCACCTTATTCATTACAAGTTATCTGTGTTTCCATCGCCGGAAAGACAATTGTATGTATAAAATGTACATAATGTTTCCTTTTGGTATCAATCAGATTCGAACTCAAGTCCGATCGTTGGAAGTCGGTGTAGTTAACAATACGTCTGTCTTTATTGAAAGTTTATTTTTATATTTATTTTCCTGTTCAGCCTCCGCTCCAGTTTGCAATGTGATCATTCTAATGCATATGAGCTAGCCAGTAGGGTTACCAACTGTCTTGATCTATTCGAGATGTCTCGATTTCAGATCATTGTTGCCGTGGCCCGATGAAGAGATTGTCGAGATGCAATATTTAACGCATTTTGATTATATATTTTTTATTTAGACTTCTGTCATGTTGTCCCCAGTTGTCAAACGGTTTAGCACACCGCTTTATTTCCGATGGTCGCGGATTCAGTTACTCACGCGATGCAAAAAAATATATTTATGAGTATAAATATAATATTTATTGGTCTGGGTATTCTCTATGTTTATGATGTATGCATTTACAAAAAAATAGTATTTAAGTACACAACTGACACAAAGTCAGTAGTGTAGTTCCCATGATACAAGCTCTGCTTTGCTTGGGACTTTATGGCGCTGTATGAATTATCTTTATTCACAATTATAGACACATAACATAGGTATATGAGATACAGAAAAAACATTAATTAATAAAAGAAATGTAGGTGACTTTATGTGCCGCAAAAGTGAAAAGGCAACCAACTCAGTATAATGCTACAGATAACTCTGCAGCGCTGATATTCTGTTGGCTCCTGATAGTCATGGTCAGTCAGACGTACTGAATGAACTACTGGATGAACCTATCTTGAGATGATGACGAGAGTAATAATAATAGCAATTAATAACCCCGTTCCTGGCAGTGAACCATGTTATGTTGACCGCCCTATGGTCCCCGTGGAAACCATTGTGGTTGATTGAATCCTGATGAGTTAAGACGTGATTTCATCCTAATCCCATTGTCCTCACAGGTTGTCAGCGTATACCATTTGCACAGGCTGGCTCATTATCTTGAATTAAAAAAAAATAAAGAAGCGAGAATGCAAATTCAAGTGTTTTCACAAAATAATTCCTTCTTCTATAATACAGATTTTTTGTGTTATATTTATTTTTTTATTATTAAATCCCGAAAAAAATATTAACTGAGTTGGTCAGCCTACATGATACCTACCTGTTAATTCCAATGAACGGTTCATTGTAAATTGTCACGACAAACTAATTATCTACATCCCGTGTTTATTTACCTTTTACATGTACATATTAGCCGACTTCAGAAGAGAGCAATGCTTTATTGTTTTTATTACCTATGAATGGCAAACAAATTGTTATATCACCTAATGGTAACATAAACTTTATATACATAGTACATGTACAGCACCATGGACATTATGTAATTGTTTAGTTTTTATTTTTTCCACTAGATGGCGTTATACCATCATAGTGTCATAATGTCATTAATAAAAATCACGATATTTTAACTTCTTGTCGCTTTTTTTATTCAAACAGTCATCGTGCGATACTCATGGTTATGTGAAACGTACGAGGCTTCTCGTACAAATAGGAGATTTTTAACCGTCAGTACAAGGACATTTTTTTGACGACCTCGGTGGTCTAGCGGTCTAGCACATCGCTTTACGTACGATGGTCGCGGGTTCGATTCCTCGCACGGCACAAACATTTGTATTCGTGAGTATAATTGTTTGTATCGGTCTGGGTGTTTTCTATATATAATATGTGTGTATTTACGAAAAAAAAAATTATCTATGTATCTGTATCAGTTATATAGTACCCATAACACAAGCTTTAGCTAGCTTAACTTGGGACTAGATGGCACTGAGTGAATTGTCCTGAGATTATTATTATTATTACATTTTCATCTTTGTACGATATTTTGCGCTACGAAAATTGCTCAAAATACTATTATGAACGAGTTATGAATGAGCTATTGTATAAGTATTTATAAGATTTTCCTTCCAAAGGACTAACGTGTCAAGCCTTCTTACCATGTAATATCATTCCCATAGGTTTTTTAAATATACATATTTCTTTACTTTCCTTTGGCAAGAGTTTCTGTATTTCAGTACATCAGCCTTAATCTCTTGTCCCAGATGTATAATTGTCTAATTAATTATATTATATGTATATTTCTACATTTTGACTTAAGTAATCTGTTCTTTTTTAATACGCAATAAAATACAGCCCATATTTCTCGCTGCTAACATTGCCCTCTGCAGGTAAAGGAATTTTTAAAACATTTTAACTTTATTTTGAGTTAATTTCATTGGGAGTTATTTTTTTTAAATCATTCCCTTGTTTGGTGATATTAGTCCAGTTAATGGTTATTTACAGTTTATATTCACATAAATGTTACCGCACTATGACTAAACGTATGTATTGTGGTTCCGTATCTTTCTCCTCTTCTTAATGGACTGAAATGGTATGGTATGGCCATTAACAATAAATAGTTTGCGGTTTGAGATATCTTCGTCTTCCTGTGTTTCGATAAGTCATTTGCTAATGAGCTACTATGACAATATAGATAGACGATAGAATAAAAAACAGATTTTCGAATAAAAAACGATTCGAAATAGAAATGGGACAAACAACCGGTTCATAAATGTCGAAGTTATGAAGTAAAAACATTAAAAATAAACCAGCCGAATTGGGAACCTTCTCTTTCTTTGGTGTCGGTTTAATATAATGAGAATGTCGTGATCTAGGGGTTTACTACTGTAACTTAAACCCGAGGTCGGGAGTTCAAATATAATACACAATTCATATATCATTGTCAGTCATTGACTAGAAGGTCCGAGATTAAGATCATGAGGCTAAAACTTAGTCTCATATTAAAGTAACAATATCTTTACGAATTGTAGGTACACCTAAACCTTCCTCAGAAATCACTCTGTTGATGGATGAAAAGCTCATGAAAATCCATTCAGTAGTTTTTAAGGTCATCGCGAATAAAGATGCGAAATGTGCGAACTTTGTTTTACAATTTCCAAAGTTTTAATAATAGTGTTATATTAACTGTGTTATTTTAACAAATTTATAGAATTGTTGATTTATAAATGTAGTTATAAACAAATGTCCTTAAAAAATAAAGCGGATAAATTTTACAATTGAAATAAACTTTACAATTTTAATTTATAACTTTATAATATTAATTGATAATATTTTTTACATTCCTATCTAGAGAAAGGTTACTCCCTTTCGAGATAACGAGATGACTGCGAACAGGGATGAATGGAAGAGAAAAACATTATCGCCGACCACAAATAAATGGGATAAGGAAGAAGCGTGCATGGCAATAGTCATGACATAGACACCTATGTATATAAATAAACATTGTGAATAAACTGTCTTAAAAAAAAGAGATTCAATTGGGTTTCTTGCCAGTTCTCCTCAATTGAACTTGTATACTGAACTGGACGATAGGATAAAAATTATAATATGAAAAATATATAAGGCTAAAATGTCCTAGAATGAATGATTTTTGCATTTGAATTTGAAGCAGATGATGTTTTTTTACATTCACGTAAACTGCGCGATCACGTTATCAATATAAAACGGTAAGTTCCAAATTTATGTTTATTTCTTGGCGAAACTGCTTAAATTTCATGAATATTCCAATAGCCTTGGTATATCCTTTAGTATAATATTGTACTGTTATACCTCCTATTCATAAAAACTAGAGCAACCGACACACATTGTACGTCATAGTGTAGTTATGTTATATCCTTGCTTTGTAAATAATAATTACAATAACCCAATATCTATATATCAATTTTTATGAATAAATAATAAATAACCCTGAACACAGCGCCATCTAGTCCCTAGATAAGCAGACCTTGTATCATGGGTACTAAACGACAGATATAAATACTTACATATATTTTCTTTAAAGAATGCAATAAAATACCCAGACCGATTCAAACAATCAAACTCATGAATATAAATGCTTGCATGTAAGCAATCGAACCCGCGACCATAGAAAGTTAAGAGGTGAGCTAAACCTATAGACCATCGACGGCATCATAAAATTAAGAAGATAGATCGACAGAAAAGAACGAAGCAATTTAATAATTAAATCAAATATTTACAATTATTGAAACCAACTAAATTTATACATTTTTAAGGTTGTAAATATATATACTCAATTACGTATGAACGACTACACTTATTTGAATGAAATTTAGTAAACTGATAAACATTATCCTAGATTTACACATCCGTTCACACGTAATTTTTACCCGAATTTTTGTCTTTAACGCCGCAGCATAAAATTGGTAATTGTATAATTTTAACACAAGAGCTCCATCGACTAAGAACATGAATGAAATTAAAAATTTATAATTTTAACTTCTAAAAATTTTGTTAGTCACACTTATTGTTTATTTGATAGTTCTACTTTGGAATTTTAGGCCATTTGCAAAATTAATACTTTTTATTTTAAATTTCCAATTATTGCAAATTTAAAATCAAACTCCTTTGTTTTATGAAAAAATACGGTTTCGTAAAGGATTGCCCGACGCAATAACAACAAAGCGTTCCTGTTGTACTTTTTAGGGCACGGTACCCTAATTTTGGACCCGTCTAAGGTCTTGCATATAAGTATGGATATAACTAGTATTTCCTAGAAAATAAAATGCTATTTGTGTTAATCTAAAGTAGGTATTTTATGAGTATGAGAGAGAAGCTGTTACAAGCCACCTAGTTTACTCATTTCAGTTATCAATAATTTCCGCTGTACATAAAATATCTATTTCATAACACTGACTCTAATAAATCTGGTTTTACCGAAAGCCAAAACAGCACAGAGAAAAAAAGGAATTCTTTTTTTTTATTTATTAAAACTTTTTCAAGATTTGACACACTGGCATTTGACACATGAACACGTAATATAGCGGCTATAAAGAAAAAAAATGCGCGCACTGATTGAAAATGGCGGTCGCACGGGCACCTCCGCGCCGGTTACATGTAAACTGGCTGAACGTGAACTTACAGTGTTGCCAACAGAATTTGAGTTAACCCACTAACTGAATGTCCAAAAACAATCACAAATGTTTGAACCTATTTTAATAAAACCACTACAACAATGTGTAATATCACATTTTCCCATATTTTTTGTTGATAATAAATTACACAATTTTATAAAAACAATTCAACCCTTAAATGAACTGTAATTGTTTGTAGTAAATATCACATACCTTATACTTACTCATCAATAATTACAACTGAATAAAAAACAGTGATTATTTAGTTTTTGTTGTTTGTATATCAAGGGATAATATAATATTTATTTAAAAAAAAATAACAACAGTTGTTGATACATAAATAGCTATACTTGAATAACAAAATTACACAAAAAAACTAAAAATTTTAGTTACGATTAAAAAACATTACCTTCTATGCTACTTGTTGCTTATATCGAAGAATGATGAAATATTCCAATTCTAGAGGTAAAACTACGAAGGTAGCAACACCACGAACTTATTTGTAAACAGTGACGCTTTTTTACTAGGTATCACAAACTTTCCTACTGAATGTATACATGGCGCGGAGTTTTATCAACCGAGTGCCAAAACGAGGATATTCCCAATTCAACAGTATTGTGTATACCAAAGAGTTCAATTTTCATTGACAGTTCCTACAACAATGTTGTGTGTAGAAATGGTACTAGATACCAGTATCTGCTAAAACAGAACTGGTTTTTATATTTTTATCATTAGAGTTTCTAGATGATTATGGCGCTCTACCGATTAATGATAACAGGAGATAAAGTCCCATTAATTAGATCATCTGGCAAGTGGATTACGAAGTATATACAACTAGTTAGTTACCCACCCCGGTTTCGCACGGACGGTGTATATTAACTATACGTATAAATAAAATTGGAGTGTCTGTTTGTAATATTGAAATAACCGTTTCTTACTACATGCATATGAATATAAATACTGTACCTACATGCACCAAAATAAAGTTTTTTACAATTTTTGTCTCTCTGTCTGGCTGTTTGTTCCGGCTAATCTCTGAAATGGCTGGACCGATTTTGACGGTACTTTTATTGGCAGGTAGCGGATGTAATAAGTATGTATCTAATCTATGTAGTAAAATGTATCTGTGTATTTATATCAGTTGTCAAATACTCATAACACAAGCTCTGCTTAGCTTGGGACTAGATGGCACTGGTGTAGCGACGTGTAAAGCCACTACACGCGGCAACTTAACCGGATCTACTGGGCGTCCTTCCACAAATTTATACAGTCTCTGACTGCGTGACAACAAATAAAATAACGATATCTACTGACCTGCAATCCAATCCATAGCTCTATCAAAGAACAATACACACACCAGGTCTGGACAGAAAGAGATAGCAGGAAAACGGAGTCTCTTGCGGAATATGACGAACGCCACTCGCGAAATAGTTAGACGGTATCTTTGTCTAGTCTAATTTTCCAAAACTTTTGTTCTATGAAGCGCGTAGGTATAAATAATTATTTAATATAAAAAAGAAAAGCAGAAAATGTCATTCTTATGATCTTTTAAATAATAAAAACAAAAGACGGCGGGCGTACATGCTCTTTTTTTTATTAAAATGAAAATTAGCTTTATTAATGGCCAGTTACTCATTTTAGAACTCCACTGCGTATCTCCACCGGAATATTCAGCCAGTAGGTGACCGATACATAATATAATAATAAGTTTAATGCGCAAAAAACAGTTACAATGGACTTAATTAAGTTACCTTATCCAGTGTATGTATGTTGCAAACTCTTTGCACATTTTTATATATTCATTTTTCTACCAATTTTAAATGTATTTTCTTTTAGAATTGTCATATATTTTTTATTTGTCACTTTTTGCCTACAACCGTATGTACACGTATCTATCTTCATTATAAGTATTTTCCATTTTCTATCCATTGTTTGATTTACATTACACATACAGTCCACTCATTCTATCACCTACATTTTGGTCCTTCGAGGCAAACAAAAAAAATACCATCCCAATATTTTCATTTATTGTTTCATTCGTAGTACATAGTTTCATACATATATTGTAGTGCCATATCATTCATTTATGATCACTCGCAGTAGAAGTAAAATCATGGCATCACATAACGTTCCTACTACATCTCACGCCGAATCATTATGTCATAGTCGCGGTTCATCGATTGTAGACGTAGTTGATAGGATTTGTGTAGACGACGGCGACGCCGCGTGTAGTTTGCGTTCAGCACAATCCAAATCTCGGGTTTCATCTTCATCCGTAAAGATGCGTAGGGCTGCTGTTGAAGCCGCTTACAAGCGACGGCAGTACGAGCGCGAGGCTATGCTTGCACAACGTCTTTCGGAAGTTGAAGATGCCGAATTTCGTGCCAAGATCGAACAAATCAATGCGGATGCGGACTGTGAAGGTAGCGGGCGAAGTAGGAGCACATGTACTCGTATGAGAACACAGAAATGGGTAAAGAACAATGTAAATACTAAGGTACGTGACAACAGTGAGGAACAACGCGAGGTCCCACAGCCTAGCTATCTGGCACCTACGGTACCGGTAGCCTCTCAGGCTGCTGCTTCGCAAATAGCAGCACACCTCTCGTGTCCAACACATGCAGGTTCTGTTCCCCATACATCCAGACAGGCGGCCATGTCACGGCCGACCTCACACTTCCTGGCAAATGTAGCGGGTGAACAACAGCATATGCCAATATTAGGCAGTAATAATGATAACTCACACTTATTATTACAAATTACCGCCAACATGGCTGATGTAGCCAATGCTTTAGCCACTACTCATGGCATGCGGAAGCACTGTAGGACTGAGTTATTTCCGTTTACAGGGAACGCATTGCAGTGGCTACAGTTCAAAAAAATGTACGATAGTTCTAAACCGTTTTATTCTCCTGTAGAGAACGTTGCACGTTTACAAAACGCGCTACGTGGTCCCGCACGAGAAGCCGTCTCTTCACTTCTCGTCTCTGCAGAGAATCCCGAAGAGATCATGTGCGCACTCGAGCGTAATTTTGCGTCACCCGAGATGATCGTCTTCGGCGAGGTACAAACTTTGAAGTCGCTACCGCGGTTGGGTAATGAACTTAAAGAATTAAGTACTATCGCTAATAAGGTACGGAATAGTCTTTCTACTATAAAACTATTAAATCGTAGGGAGTATTTACACTCTCCAGAACTATTCTATTCTATTTTAGGAAAATTAAATCCTAACATAAAATTAAGGTGGACAGATTACGCGTCTGGATTTAGTCAAGCGAACCCGGACCTATCTAAGTTAGAGGTTCTGTCTGAATTTTTGACAAAAGAACACGAGCGTCATATTAGTTTCTGTCTATCTCCTGAAGGGGCACTTTCTTTAGCAACACAACAGACGCATATAAGTCACTTTGCTAATAAACAATTTAAACGTGAAAATATACATTCTACGTCTCATTCCAAATTAAAAATAAATAAGGTCGAATGCGTTTATTGTAAAAGAAGTCACAACATTCAATCTTGCGACGAATTTAAGTCATTGTCAGTCGATGACAGATGGAGTTGGATACGAAAATGTAAGGTTTGTTACAAATGTCTTCGACAGAGTTCACATTTATGGAAGTCATGCAAGGTAAATCCTTGTGGAATAAACGGCTGTTCGTTTCGTCATCATCCTCTTCTCCATGGTAGACAGGATACGTTAGTGTCGTCCCAGGCACCCGATACACTGCTCACGAATAATACAGTGTGTGCCACTGCAACTCAAAATGAGATGCTTACGTCACCATATCCTAATGTCATGTTGAAAGATAAGGTTTTTGTTAGTAACACCGGTATTTCGCAAACCAAACGAACCCTGTCAACATATACAAATGTTTTATTAAAAATTGTACCTGTCACTGTTTTCGGATTAACTGGTAGTTATGACACATACGCATTGTTAGACGATGGTAGTACGGCCACATTAATTGATTCAGTCGTTGCCACTCAAATCGGACTAACTGGACCCAAGGAACCTATAACTGTCAATGGTATAGGTGGCCTACATAAAAACACTACCATTAGTTATGTAGATTTTTATATAAAAGGTAAGTATGCAACTAATATTTATTTTATAAAACATGCTAGGGCTATAACATCTCTTGGTTTACATGCGCAGTCATTGCTCAAAGAGACATTGACAAGTTATAACCACTTACGCGATTTATCCAAGTTTTTGTCACATAATAATGCTACACCTACTATACTCATTGGTGCCGAAGACTGGCATTTGTTAATCTCTCGTGAAGTTCGTACAGGTAAGCGCAATGAACCTGTAGCCTGTCGTACGTTATTGGGTTGGACTTCATACGGAGTGGATTGTAGTAAAAGTAAACCTACTGAACGTATTAATTATTGTCAATTTTCGACTAGTGTGTTGTCCAATAACACAAGTAAACACCGATGCTATACGGAGCCGTCAATACAGTCTCCTAAAAAGTGGCCTATAAAACCACCTGTTCAGCCCGTTATTCAAACTGAACATGAACAACGCTCATACCACGCTCATATCAACAATTTATTCATTGGCTGTTCATCGGGTCATTACATCTAACTCTGCTCCATTCCATCACTGGTCACTTTTATATCATGCCACTTCTCGTATTTTTGATCTTTTTAAATTTCGCTCGTTTATAGATAGCGTGATTCCTGGCTCAAAAATAGTGGCTCGAACCCGTCAACGTAAGATGTCTGCGTCCACCACTTTATCAACTACGACAGCAGAACTGATAAAAACCACAGAAAGGCATATCTTACATCGCGTTCAACAAGATAGCTTCGAAGAAGATATCCAGCGTATCACGAGACCACAACCAATCGCGAAAACGAGTGACTTAATTAAACTTTTCATTTGTGATAGGAGAAGACAATGTCTTGCGCTCAGATGGAAGCATCAAGCTAATAACTTACGTGATACCGTCCGAAACGTAACCT